ATGACCATTCTCTGAATTTCTCATGAATATTCTTCTGTGGTCCATTCTATTCTCCCCGGAACGCAATATGAAATTCTCATGATTCCAATTATTATCAAATCACTCAGTCCCTAATTCATGTTCAGTTTATCTTGTTCACCAGCCCATACTGATTTATATTACTCCGGGGTGTAACTTTTACTTTTGGTAATCGCGTTAGAGTCACAAACTTATATCTCGAAATGAGGATGTGACTTTATGGCCTATACTCTTTTGTTGCCTCAAGGCCTGTCACCTCTCGTCTTTCCCTTTACTTGACTATAGACTCTGTAATACTATAATCTTTTTGATCTACCGTTGTCATCTATGTATCACATCTTACTCATAATGCTTCAGTAACTCTCTTCTTATTTCCCGCTAACATTTATGTCTATCACTTTATTTTGAAAACTCGAACAAGACATTTTTTTGCTTTTAGCTCCCCTTGCTCCATCCATTGGCTCTTCGAGTTGCCTAACATTCTCTCTCTACTAGGGACGGGATCCATACTAAAATAATATTTATCCTTTCCAGGCTTCCAGTGCCTATCTTTGTAGTACTCATATCTGGTTGTACTATTTTAGAGTGCACCATCTAGGTGTCTCACAAGGAGATCTATATCCTTCAGAAATGTCAACCAATGCAAACCATCCATCCATTATTTTGGGTCATTCTAACCCCAGTCGGATCTTGATATCCGTACTTCTCTTATACTACTTCTGTTAGCCCCCATAGGGCATAATTGAGATGGGTGTGGCCAATTGTACATACCTCAGTTATTGTTGAAGGTGACTCAACAATAATCTTCATTAACTGGGCGCCTCGTACCCTTCTTCATCTTGCTTCTTTTACTTGTTGAAACTTGTATCTATCTTCTAAATATCTCATTGATTTTCGCCATATCTGTGGATTGACATCCTTGCCTTAAGGTTCCTTATTAAGAAGTTATACGTCTTAGTACACACATGATCAACTGAAGACCTTATATTTACTCATCATAAGCATCATGAAAAATCACGTTCCCCTGTCTCAACTCTTCCATGACTGCATTCAATCCCCTACCAACCATCTTTCTAGATGTAGGTATCATCTTATTATGAATAGAATAGAATTTAAGAGTCTGAATTCTTACAAGTGAGCTCTACCACACGATCTAGAGTAAGAAGAAAGAGTTTCAGTCCTAAATACCCTGTAGCCTACTACTTATAAGTGTGGTGCACAACACACCCATAAACAAGATTCTACTAGACATGGCTTGTAGACTCCCTAGGACAGAACTGCTCTGATACCACTTTTGTTACGACCCAAACCGATGGGCCAAGACAGGAACCCAGTGCCCTTACTCAACCGAGTACCAACGTAACGTATCTTTCTCATTACATCAATATGGGTAAATGGGCCAAAAGGTCCGTATGAGGTAACAAGAATAAAATATGAGAGAACACTTGACATAACACAACCTAACCTGATATACTAACTTATACATATGACGTACGGGCCTATAAGGCCAAAATAGTCACTCGTACACTGAACATAGGCCGACAAAGCCATACAATCTTTCATATACATGACATATGTCTACAAGCCTCTAAGAGTACATAAATGTCATGAGGCCGGGACAGGGCCCCGACGTACCCATCAATACATGTCTAAATCATACTAACCAAATAAGCAACTCCGGAGCAAATGGAGCGCAACAACATCTTCCGCTGAGCTGATAGCCTACTTGGAGGATTCTCAACCTATCTATTGGGACCTGTGGGCATGAAACGGAGCGTCCCTAGGTAAAAGGGACGTTAGTACAAATAATATACCGAGTATGTAAGGAATGAAAATCAGTAAATAATAGACATGAGAGAAATATAGAGTAAGCGACTCAACATCTATATCTGAATAGCTCTATGAATCATTTAATATTATAATATCATGCATATGCGTATAAATGCTNTATATATAACGTCATCTGGTCATAGGTCAATGTACATGTAAATGAATGCAGTGCATGAGAAGTATGTCAATAAAATCTCTCGGAACGTCATAAGACCATTATGCCTTTGATTACTATCATGAAATAAGATTTATCAATTTACGTATTTTCTGAGACCCATGAACAGATGATAGAATAATATGACACATGTGGAATCATGAACATAAGCATCTCTAGTATTTCTATTAATAGAGTCATTTACGAAAGTTGTGCATTTGCTCGTTTCGTTTGTATAGTATGGATCATGCCATAAGGAAAGAAGGGATAGCCATAACATACCTGAGTCAATTCTCTTGACAATCCCTCTAACATACGTCAATTGCAATAAATCACATAATGGCGGATTGAAGTAGGGAAAAATCCGTATGATATTCTTGAGAAAGATTGTACCTTGCTCTCTTAGAATTACAAATCTCGTTGCTATTACACCGTATAACTTCGTGTGAAATTTTATTGAAGCTTCATCCGTCACTTGGAACACCTAGCATTATACCTTAATAAGGTAAGAAATATCTTAAAATTGTTGGCTTTTGTTGAAGATTTCATATAAACTCATTGTTTGAGATTTCATCCATTAGCTATCTTAGTAGAGATGTAACCATTTCCATTTGTGAATTAGAGAAGCTTTTAAGTTTTAGTGGTGTGGACTCCACTTTGATAAGATGACTAAGTTTCAAAACCATTTAGATGTGCCACCTTACCTTATGAGTAAAGAGTCACTCATTTGATTGAATCTTGCTGTCACTTTTGTCCACCAAACTTTATCCACAATTTTCCAATTACATGCTAATCTCCCATTAACAACTAATAATTAATTAATTATCCACATAATTAAGAATTATCTCAAACTACTTAAAATATTATTCATTTTTAACACATCTTATACATCTTACTATCATGATCATGTGGTACCTTGTATATGGCACTAGTCTATAAATATCGGGTATTGTAGCTTGGACTATATTATATTCCATAATGTCAAACTTCAATGGAACTCATTTTCTTCGATTCGCTTACCCACTCACTTTCACGAATTTACTTATCACTTGTTTGAATCTTAAAATAATCTTATTCCCGAACTTATGTCGATTAACTTACGATGAAACTATAACGTACGAAAATATAGGATGTAACATCTCATTTCCGAGCTTTTATCAATTTACTTATGGTGTACTTTCACGTACGAAAACATGGGGAGTAACATCATTTCCCCTTTTAGGAACATTCGTCCTCGAATGTTACTGATGCACTTATCATTTTCATAACTTATGTCTTCCGAATACTTTAGTACTCTTCTTGCCATCTAGGTAACTGTTCTGTGAATAAATCCAAAGGCTAGGGTATTCCCCCCTTTAGGCCTCTTTCTCACACCACGACTTGTGGTCGGAATTCTTCCAATCTCGTAACTGTTGCTACCTTTTGTCATGCAGCCTGTACGACTTTTTCCTTGTATGTGTGCCTATGCGACTCTTCTCTCCTTTTTTCTCCAGCTTTTAGCCAATCTCTAGGCTTCACTTTGTGAACATATATAGAATTATGACAAGCTGTCCCTCTGGGTATTTATAGGTATACTTGAAGTTCTTCGCTTCGTACTTTATTGAACTTATAAATATTGATATATCTTATTTCATAGCGTTGGTTATATATCCTTATGGCTTTATTACATCTAGGTAGGTTAGTATACTATCACTCTTCCTTCGATTTATCGTTACTGAGGTCTATTACCAATCTCCAGGTTACTCTCGTTGTTTAACCTATATGTATAAATCTAAGTCCTTTAATGCTTCTTCATTACCGTTCTTCTTAAAAATGATGGCCTAATCTCATCTCATACTTTATAACTTTTATCTATCCATTGTTGATTTACCTCATTATTAATCTATAATCTACCACTGATAACTTGACCTCTTATGTAACACTGCGCCAAACTGTTTACCCTTAAAACTGAGAACAATTAAATTTGTACGCGGTTTAATTTAACACAAATAATCAAAGAATTGTAAATAAGTGAATTGAGATGAAATAAAACGATCAAACCAATGTGGCGAAGTAGTTAATCATTGCGTTATTCTTGAATGCTAATGGTCGGGTTTAATCGAGCCCTCGAGATAGAGCTAGGATCCAACTAAACAGTAAACAATTGAAGAATGCTTAAACAATTGATGAAAGCTAAACTAAATTTTATTTTCCTTGATATGTGTGCCAGAAACAGTCTCAAAAAACAAACGGATGCTAATCTTTTCCTTCCTTCTTTCCCACAAAAATATGATCTGCGGCCAATACTGAGCGTGATCCACGTTGCAATATTCAGCCAGCGATAGATATTTCGGCTCCCCGTTTGTCTTCTTTAGTCATCTTTCTCTTACCCTCGATTCTTCATCTCACTCGTGCTTGATTCTCTCCGGGCTCGGCCATGCTCGAGACCGTTGTATCATTTGTCCGATCCTGGTTCCAATCTGTAGGCACCTTCGATTTCACCTGAGCCCATGACGAGTAATGCCGTACCTCCCTTTTAGGGCTGCTTATCGGGCGGATTGGGCAGTTATTTACTTTTAATGGTTTGGCTTATCGGTTATCGACTTTTAAATGTATTAATCCGCTAGCCGCCCGATAAGGTATCGGGCGGATTGGTATCGATTTAACTCTTATCGGGTGGTTTATCGGCCTAGCAAAATTATCATTCATTCTAGGAATCTAGCAGTACTACCAGAAGAAGGAAAATAAGCAAAAAATTAGGACTTTGCCAATGAGTTATCCCCATTCATTTCTCGATTTAAGTAAGAATAATAATGAGCAACATCAAGGTTTGACTCTTGAGTTTATAGTTTCAGTATCAAATTATCATGTCCTAACAACTAAATCATTCCTCCACTCCTTCACCACTACTTCCACCAAACCTGTTATATCAGAGGATCTACTGACACGTGCAATGATGCTTCTCGATGCATGTTTCATTTTCAATCACATTGAGATAAAGCATATCAGACGCATTAGATAAAAAACAAGCAACAAAAGGGCATGTATTAATATGTTGGTTTTGTCAACAATACTTTGAGATAGCCTGGATTGACTTGGCTACAAACTGGATGTTTTTCAATGTTTTGATAGTAATCAGCAAGGAAGTTCGCAATCATGTGACCTTGCTTTCTGAATTCTTCAAAAAAGGATGAAACAACATAGTGTAAGCAACTAGATCAAAAACAAAAAAGTACAATAAAAGGAAAAAGAACACATTGAATCAATTCCACTTTCTTCTTATCACCATGCTTCTGTACTCATATGTACTGCAGCAATCAATATCATAGTCTCACTTCACAGTCTCAGCAATTAAAGTCACGGTCTCACCTGCAACCAGTATACATAAACAAGAAGTAGGTATATGAGTTTTTCAGACCCTACATACACATTTAAAGATAACCAACAAAAGTACAAGAGAAATAGGTACCAGAAGTAATCTTAATCCTTCAAAATATCAGAAGTTGATGACAACACTTAACTATATGAGTTTCAGACCCTACATCCACATTTAAAGAGCAAGGGTATAGTGAAACTCATATTTTAAGCATATTAAGTAGTCAGGGAAAAAAATTCATTGTGAAAAACTCAAATAAACTTATAGTTTCAGAAGAATCCAATATGATCATTTGTAATGTAGTTTCACAGTAAGCTAAAGAAATGTGACATGTCACATGTTTGAGGGTACCACATTAGCCTAAATTCGAATTATTACCAGATATATTAACACTACACGTCAATTACGAAAGGGTCTTTTCCATTGCTGGCTAAATCTGAAGAAAAAAATTAAAATAATGAGTCGTGCGATAAATATAAGCATATCAACAACACTTATATACAACAAATATAGTAACAATATTATAACCTTGTTCAAGCTACTCGATTTTATCAAGATCTTCCTCAACACTAATAGGTTGTTTTAATTTTTTATTTCGAAGCCAATCTTGAAGACATACTAGAGCTTGCACCAATTTAGGAGTTAATGAACTCCTAAATGAATCAAGAAGACGTCCTCATGTACTAAACGCACATATGGATGCCACACTTGAAACCGGAACAACTAATACATCACGAGCCATCTCCGCAAGAATAGAAAATCTAGTTGAGTTCAGTTTCCACCAAAGAAGAACATTAAATTCTTTAGTGTCATCCTCAGTTTCTTCACCTAAATATTTATCTAACTCTGTTCTAGTATCAATACCTCCACTCCCACTTTTATATTTTTTATATCTTGCATGAGTGATTCTAAAAGTCCTATATTTTGGGTGTTTGCTTGACTGGCAGAAAGCCCGGAAGTCGAAGTGTCCAATGAAGAACAATCTAAAGATGAAGCAAGTACAACACCTTTTGAGCTGGACTTTACATACTCACTAAATAATGAAGTCATGTACTTCGTCACTTCTGCTTGTATAGTTGCCCCCTGATTTACACCAAACATCTTTACAAGTGCATAGCCAACCGATTCGATCTTGTAACGTGGATACAAAATACATGAGATAAAAATTATCTTGTTCATTTTCCCTGGATCGCCCCAATACTTATCAAACTTTTCTTTCATATTCTTTGCCATTTCACTTAAAACTGTATCTTTATTTGCTATCAATTGCTTCAAATAAATAGAAACAACACAAATTTTAAGAAAATGAATATTCTATGTAACATAACATGATCCAGATATCTTCAAAGTAAGAAGATAGAAGATTTCAAGAAACTTTGTAATTCTTTTTACATTCTCCCAAACACTACTCAAAAGTTCACATGTAGGAATTCCAACATCAATATAAGAATGCTCAAGATAATGTCTCAAGCCAATTTCACTAGAAGCATAATGTGAGAATGCACTTTCAAATTCAACAGCCCTGCGCAACATCAAGTAGGTGGAATTCCATCTAGTTGGAACATCTAAGCATAAAGTTTTTTTAGAATTGAGTTTTCAGCATCAAAACATTCTTGAAACCTCTTCAACCTCGCAGGAGACTGCCTAACATATCTCACTGCATGCCTAACACGTTCAATATACACTAAAGATTCTTTTAAACCATCCTGGACCACAAGATTCATGATGTGAGACATATATCTCACGTGAAGGTGAGTACCATTCATCAAATTAGTACCCATTTTTGTTAATTACTTACATAATTCTTTTACTGTCACATCATTTGAGCTTGCATTATTAACTGTGACAGTGAAGATCTTATTTATCCCCCAGTCACGTAAGCACCTACCAATACCATTTGTCATATCTTCGCATTTATGAGTAACAATAGGACAAAAATTAATTATTCTCTTATGCATATTCCATTAACTATCAATCCAATAGGTAGTGATACACATGTAATTGATTCTTTGTATAGAAGTCCAGGTATCAGTGGTAATACATACTCTTTGTTTTGTTTCTAGAAAAAAACCTCTTCAATTTTTGCTTTTCTTCATTAAAAAATATCAAAACAATTCCTAGTTACAATACTACAGGAAGGGATCCAAAATTAAGGTTGCGCCACTTTCATAAAGTCTATAAAACCTTCTTTCTCAACAAAGCTAAAAGGAAGCTCATTAACTATTACCATACGACATAATGCCTTCCTACATTCTTCTTGATCAAATTTCCAAGTAACAACAGCTACGTCACCTTGACTACCCCTGGAGCAGATTGAAAGTCTAAATTTGATTGTTTTTTTTATCAACAATAGCAGGGCGTTTAGGACACATAAGCATAAGAGAAAGAAGTGTCGACGTACCATCTTTGGTCTTAAATACATACTCAATAAAGCAATAGTCACATTTTGCTTTTGTACTCCCTTCAGAAGTAATAGTTTCTGTAAAATGATCCCACACAACAGACCTTTTTCTCCTTTTGTTGGTTATATTTGACTTCATTGTTTGAGCTTGACTTATTGCATTTGAATTAGAAGCCCCACTTTCACCCATCATCAACTTATCACTTTGTATATTTTCATCCATGTATGAGTCACTGTAACAAAAAAATAAAAGGAATGAGAATAAAGACATCAAGTTGTAATAGACTATTTTTGAGCTTGCATTAAACAAAACTAGAGCTTGTTCTAGCAATGAACTAAACGATGAAAACACAGTTATTAAGGATCAACATTTAGTCTTGATTAATTAATTTAAGTGTCACTGGCTTCTGAGAAGGGATAGAAATAAGCAGAGATCATCGTGCCATATCCATGGGCTAAACAATACTAGCGCTTCGTTTGTAACTCACTAGCTCTGAGTTTCTTGAATTGAAATTGAGACAGAAAGGGCACAGTACAAAACATAAGAACAGAGAAATGAAGACGAAGAAGAAAACCCTAAAATTATCAAAATCAACAACAACTTCTTAAACTACTTAAGTTGCCTCAGATTGCACCTCTACTGTCATGTTTGATTGATAAATAACACAAAGTATTGGATCTTGGCAATCACCTCCTAAACAGCTGCAAATTTAAGAAAGTGACAAAAATTGGGATCCCAATCATATGCCCTAAAAATAGCCAAAAAGTACTCATAATATAACAACTATGTCTCCATCCCAAACAAGCTAGGGTAGCTATATAAATCATAACTAACCATGTTCCCCATTCAAAACTATATCAAGCAAACATTTTATAAAATAAAAATAAAAATGAAAAATACTACTTCTCGATATCTCCTATACTAGCATAAGAATCTCTAACAAGGTGTAGTTGAAATTTGTGAGAAATACTCCTTTGTAAAGTCCCAACAAAAACCAAAAAACATATTCATGATGTTAGAAAATGACATTTTTTATGATAATCTAGCTGAATCTCGTCAACCCCTACTAAACCACTAGATAAATTTTCTTACTACAAATTGTTCTAAAAACCAAAGAAGCTGCTCCTGTGAATTCATTTCAGAAGCAGAAAATTGAAACTTGGAAAATGTCACAATTTACTACTATTTTATTCCTACTGTAAACATATCCGTTTAACAAAATCGGCAAATTCAACAACAAATAGTGAGAAAAAATTGTAAATTGAAAAAAAAAATGACTAGCAAACTTCTGATAATTGAGGGAAAAGTTTGCTAGCCATAGAGCAGAGATGATAATGTTGTCCAAGGATGTGATGATGGACATCTTGTCAAGGCTATGCGCAAAGACATTGTGTAGGTTAAGGTGCATTTGCAAACAATGGAGAAGCTTAATCTCTGACCCATTTTTTAAATCCCTTCACAAGGCACGCTTATCTCTTAAATCCAGTTTGGTTTTTCTCCAAGAAAAATATTGTGGTACCTCTACTACTAGAGTAAGTATGTCATCAGTTAATTTTGATGGGAATCATAAGTAAGAGTACTTAGATAAGAAGATAAGAAGCCGCGAAAAGGAGAGACGAGACGGCAAGAGGGAGACCGGTGGCTGGTGGAAGTCGACGACGAGGAGGACTGGTGGGCGGTGGCTGCTGGTTTAGGCATTAGGGTTTCTATGATTTTNATATATATATATATATATATATTCTTAACGGGTTAACGGATTATGCGTTAAGAAAATTGAATAATTTGCCCCAAAACCGATAAGCTGTTAATAAAAAAATTTCAATTCGTTCTCCGTCCGTTAAGCCGTTAAACTGATACTAGTAAGCCATTAAGCTTCGATTCGGTTTCGGATCGATTTTGAACACCCCTACTCCCTTTATAACAGAAAATTGGGGGTAACTCTATCCCCGATTTTACCCATATACAATAAGTAATACTAAGAAAGAGAATATGGCAAATTTTAAAAGCAGTTGACAAAGTCGCAAGGGTCATTATCTCCTAATAACGACGTGCTATTAATTTCACCACGAAACTCCCGCGTTTTGTGGCGCAACTTTTTGCCATTTTGCCCCCTTTTCCTCCTCTTCTCAATTTAATATTTTTGTGTTCATCATGATAATCCTACTTGTCCATAAATAAATTAAAATAAAAGAGGAATATTGACTTTTTGTACAGAAAAAAAAAGGATACAGACTGAAAAAAATCGAGTATGTTAATCTCAAATGTGGAAGCGATTGGCCTTTTGAAAAATATTACTACTAGTATCAACTTAATACATCCATATTATTAGAAAACCTCAAGAATATCACCACTAACCTTATCACCATAACAAGGTCTCATTGACAACATTTTGTTGTAATTATCTATAACGTATTGAATAACGGAATCAATCATCTGTTTTGATTCAAAAATTTAGAATATAATAAGTAAACTTGAGGGTTTTTTTTCCATCTACATGGTTGGCCCTTAAATATCACAATCAATGACATATAGCCTTTAATTTTATGTAGAAATTATACGGTAGTTGAAAGACTACACAAGAAAATATAATACGTCTATAATTTTTGACTCGCTCAAAAAAGGAAAAAAATGTCCTGAGCATTCTTCTTTTTGTTATACAAATCATCATGTTAAAATTATTTTTGTAAATATTCATTTCACCAGTAGACTGTATAATTAACTTTCTTAACAATATAAGAAGTGTCTTCAGGGGGATAACCAATTCAACTTGGGACTCGCATTTCTTCTTTCAATGGGTTACGTATAGCTTGTCCTTGTAATTCGGATGATCTATCGAATTTGGTGATCCATTACCAAGTCCAACAAGAAAAAGTTATACGAAAGATCAGCTAAAGAGTAGTCAAAAAGTCAGTAGCCAACACAATAGAAGAGGACGACACGAATAGCAAAAAACCAATTTTTTTGAATCTGCTGCCGAAAAGTTCCCAAATCCCTTTTTTGAAGGAAAAAACCATTGATATTGATTTTCAAGTATAACTCAATTCTCCAGATCAAGAATCGTACAGGGCCTATTACTGTTTGATTTATTGTCTCAGAGAGAAATATGAGCAATAAAAATCCTGTGAAGTTAGATGATGAGCAGTTGGCTGAACTGCGAGAAATCTTCCGGTCGTTCGACAGAAATGATGATGGGAGTCTGACCCAACTCGAGCTTGGCGCGCTATTGAGGTCACTTGGTTTAAAACCAAGTGCTGATCAGCTTGACACATTGATCCAAAAGGCCGATAAAAATGACAATGGCCTTGTTGAATTCTCAGAGTTTGTTTCACTTGTTGCACCGGAGCTTCTTCCTGCAAAGTCCCCTTACACGGAGGAGCAGTTGAAACAGCTTTTTAAGATGTTTGATAGGGATGCAAATGGGTATATAACAGCTGCTGAGTTGGCTCATTCCATGGCTAAGCTTGGACATTCTTTGACCGTGGAAGAGCTTACTGGTATGATCAGAGAAGCTGATACGGATGGAGATGGCAGGATCAGTTTTCAGGAATTCACTCAGGCGATTACTTCGGCTGCTTTTGATAACTCATGGACTTGATATCCTTAGGTATATCTTGTCAGATTCCTAGTTTAAATATTATGTTTTGTTCTTTTCCTTGTATGTTCTTTTAGTTAGTTTACTTCCGGACTTTCTCTGCAGATGTTAAGGTTCTTTGTATATATCATTTCAAAGGGTGTTTACTGTGTAATTAATGGAATGTATACTGAAATATCCTCCTCTGTCCGAGTTCTTCTCCCTTTCGTTTTACCTATAGTATTAAGTTTTGCTGGATTTTTGGATTTAAGTATATTTGATTGAGTAATTGACATAAGTGTTACTGGATGAATTTGGGCTTTGAATGAAGTGAATAAGTTAGATCTCAGATATCGTTTCTTTTTCCTTTTATGTCAACAGCAATGTGAAAATCTTTTTGAAAAAGCTTCCTTTGCTTAGCATGAATTTGTGAGAATAACGTGCCAGCAAAAGCATCAACACTATGTCTATGCGTCATTTTAGTAATTTGGCACAGTAATAGTTGAACTTGTAATTAACTGCTGAGTTCTCAACAGACATTAGGCAGCCAATTGTTATGGTTTTCAGTGGCAGTTTACTTAACCAAGAAATTAGGTTGCTCTTGCTTTTTCTCTAAGCTCCCTTGGTTCAGCCCATATATAGAGTATTCATAAATTTCATCCTAACTAGAATGGGATTGAGACGTCGTTTTGATCAAATGGACATTTTCCCAAAGCATAAAGGAATATGTGTAGAAAGATGGTGAGCATGGGAATAAGCCTTCTTTGTGCTTAACCTAGTGATTTAGGTGGAATGAACTTTTTCTGGCAGCAGAAAGGAATATGTAGTGCAATGGTCTGGACGGTGGGTATATAAGGCTCCTTTATACATAACCTAATCACGAGCTAGGAAATTTATAATCTCCTTGTTAATACTAATGTGCAATAAATTTTGTGGAAATAGACCAACTTATGTTCTATATATATTCTGATCAATGAACTTCAATTATCTAATTGTGGCAGGCCCTTATTCTGTGGCAAAGTAGAAATGGGTGTGGTGTGTTGACCATGATGAAGAAGAGAATTTCAGATGCAGTGTTGCTTCTGTTGTGCTTCCATCTTAATGCACTGCTTCTATCCGATAGAATATTTCTTTGCATTTTTCTCTATTGCTTTCTTAGACTGAATAATGTTTGAGTGATAATTTTCCTCTTCTTCCCTTAAGAGTAGATTACTGGATTTGAAGATATGTCATCTACTTCAGTAAAAAGACTCGGAACTTTTCGTATCACATTTCTTTGAATGAGGTTGGATGTTAGTCGTGAACTGCAATGGGTAAAAGTAGAACTATTATGGATTCGGAACTTGTTAATGTCTCATTAGGAACGAACGTGGAACCTAATACGTGGATGCTTATGGTTTTTTAATTTTTCCAGTTCTGCTGCAATACTGTGTTAGCATTTTATTGTGACCATGATGCATTACGATCAGGAATCATTATTAAGACTAGAATCATCAATGAGAATTACTCATTGGCTTTTAAAAATGGTAAAACAAACTCATTCTGTCTGTGTAATGTATATTGTTTGATCAGTGAATTAATTCCTCTAGCAATTAGCAACATGTTGCATGTTCTGCTCCATTCATATCTAACCTCCTCTTAAGAAAAAGAATGTAGGCGGTAGAGGCAATTCGCTGCATGCACTAAGGACAGTACGACGATGATTTTATCGAGGTCTTCTATCGTAAACTATTATATGTATCGTCTCATGAATTTGAGATTTGGTAGTACATATGCCATGCCGAGATGCAATTCTTTAGTTGAATAGAATCATACCTATTTAAAATGAATACATCACTTAACAAGTTCAAATTTAGACAGACAGGCTTGGTAGGTTTCAAAATGTATTCCTACACCCACTGCTTCCCTTAAATCGACGAATAAGTCAAGTATAGTTCACTCACCCAACTTCATGACAAACTACACCCCACTTGACATTCGATTCTCCCGTATTCTTTGCTGACTTCTTTTATATAGAGAGCTTCCCATTTGAGATCTTACTTTTATTACTGTTTACCTTGAAAATGGTAATTATAATTAGATTTGATTTTGTGGTTCTAAAAATATGTGATCTATTTTTGTGTTAGTTGTTAGGCAATAGATGCTAGATAAGATATTAGAAAATGAGATAACAACCTGTAGATAGTGTAAAACCAAACCAAATGGCTGGAGATCAGGGCCTCGAGCTTGCGTACACGGGGCCTCGAAGTCGAATCGGGCGCCCGGTCGAGGGCAATCGAAGGAGGATTAATAGTTATGGTAGCTTTGACGGAAGCCTTTTATGACCAATAATAAGCAATAAATGAAGAACAATAAATAGAACACAATGAATATAAGCAATAAATGCAAGTAATGAGATCAAGAGAATATGTTAGAGAGTAGAGAGAATATTCTTGTATATTCAATATCAAGCATCAGATCCTTTACAAAATGACAAGGGTCTCCTTTATATATGAGGGAGAATCCCAACATAGTACAAATGCATGTGTAATTATTACATAAAATAGATGGTACAACCATTCAGTCAGCCTGGTGTAGACTGTCACTGTTTGCGCAGGTGTTTGTCAGAAAATACAGCTCCTAGGGAACTTCCCACTTATCTGCGACAAACACATGTCCATTCTGCCCCGATGTCGGGCGCGATGGCTCCCCGAAGGCATCGAACTCTGGGCTATCCTCCGGGACCTTCGAGGTGAGATTGTGCAATGCCTTGTCGACCGTAAATGGGTCTTCCTGATTTTAGCTGTATACAGATAGTCCCCGCGTTTCTTAGAGTAAAACGAAGAGAATCGTCCTCGAAATATTGCTCATCGAGCGCCTCTATCGAAACAAATAGTTTTGCGCTGCCAAGCGAATGATGTAATAGACAGGGCCTCTAAAGGTCGCGTCCACACAATCCTCAAAATCTTCGAATTAATCATAGTGGTTGGCTGTCTTTTGGTCTGCTCCAATCGCACACGTCAGGCTTCTATAAATACTCATTTCTTCGCCCCTTCCTCTCTACCGCATCATCAGGCTCCTAATAAAGTTTTCTTTTCTCTTACCCATCTCCCGTGTCCTTTCCCGAAACGTGATTTTTCGTTTCTTCTTTGCAATCTTCTGGTAAAAATGGCGAACACTTCCACCTCTATCCCTCATGAAGATGCGCCTTCCTCTTCTACGCTCCCCTCTTAGGGTAAAGCAAGAGCATTTCCTAGTCCTGGAGAATGCATTCCAGAGGCCTTTGAGACGACCTCTGATTTTAAGGTCGAGAGACCTTCTTCGAAACCAGGGCGATGCGAACCCGCATCTCGATATGTTAGTTTAATAACGGACATCGAAAGGGTAAAAATCAACTGTCGCTGGGGAAATGCGGTGTTAGTGGAGGTTCCTTCTCGGGGGGAGGACATAACGACGTATAAGGCCGACTTCCTCAGTATGTATACTTATCCATTTACCTTCGGCCCGGCGGTGCCCTCCATGCCTTCGATAGACCCCGTGATCCTCGACTTTTGCGAACGATATCAAGTGACCCTCGACCAAATTCATCCGTCATTCTGGCGTATCGTTTACATGACAAGATATTATGTGAATATGATTGAGGGGATGCCCTTCACCCTTGACCATTTGATCAGAACGTACAGTCCCCGGCTCTTATGCGGGGGCTTGATTAAGCTCCATTGCTAGGCCTCGAGGGCCCTCTTTGCACTAACGAGGTTAGGAAGGGGGTGGATGAGCCGATTCGTCCGAGTAGGACTTCGGACTTGATTCTTGCAGAGAGGATGTCGTTCCCCAAAAGATGGAACATCAAACGTAAGTAGACATACTTAATTAAATGCCCATTTCTTTCATTTGGATACATTTCTTCGTGGACTGACTTCCTCCGCTGATACAGCTACCGCAACATACCCTGATGCGGTAAGGAATCTTTCAGGCTGAAACTGGACTCGATTTGCCCATATGTCGAGCGCGCGTGGTGCGATTATCCAAGGTTCAATGGGAATACAAGAATCACGATGGGACTTCATTGTCTGCTACAGTTTCAGTTTTACGAAGGTTGTTGCTAATTGCGCTCTCATTCCTCATGCTTGTTTTTGTATTTGGGCAGGTCTGGGGGAGGTCTTCTTGATGAGAGAAACTCTGCCCGGGGAATCGGGTACTCCAACACCCGATGAAGAGAGAGAAAGATGAGGGGGATCACCGGTTTGTCCTCCGAAATCCAAGAAAACTAGAATGGAAGATCCTAAGGATGGTTCAACGGTCTTAATTCCAGAAAGGTCGGGGAGTCCCCGAGCTGGAGGCGAAAGGAAAGACGATCCTTTGCTAGCACCCGAACGGGGGAGGATTTGACTACCTCTCATACTGTTGAGTTGGTGGCTTCCAAATCACTGCTCGGTTCCGTCGCTGCCCCACCTCAGGCTGAAGAGTCCTGCTGTGACGACTCGGCCAGTCGTCTTGAGAATTAGCACCCCGATCCCCTATTAACTACCTTCCCCGAGTTTATTTCTGCTATTTAGATTTTCCGGGATGTTCGGTTTTGTGTTTCGGAGAGTTTTGGGACACATAGTCCCTAAATGAGAGCTTAAGTGCTGGAAAGTTGACCATAGTCAGAATAGTGATGAATACGGACTCGGAATAGAAATTTGATGGTTCCGGTATCTCCGTTGGGTGATTTTGGACTTAAGGCGTGATCGGATTGTATTTTGGAGGTCCGTAGCTAATTTAGGCTTGAAATGCCGAAAGCCGAATTTTTTAAGTTTCCGGTCTGATAGTGAGATTTTGGTCTAAGGGTCGGAATGGAATTCCGAAAGTTGGATTAGCTCCGTAGTGTTGAATGTGACTTGCTTGCAAAATTTCAGGTCATTCGGACGAGATTTGATAGACTTTTTGATCGAAAGCACAATTTAAGAGTTCTTGGAGTTCTTAGGCTTGAATCCTATGTTAAATTGGTGATTTGATGTTGTTGTGAGCGTTCCGAAGTCTTGAACAAGTTTGAATGATGTCATGGGATGTGTTGGTATGATTGGTTTGAAGTTCCAGGGGCTCGGGTAAGTTCCGGGTAGGTTCCGTGATGTTTTAGGCCTAAAATCATAGCTGTTGTAGGTCCAGAGGAGTTGTAGACCTCTGAACCCACCAGTGCGGTCCGCACAGGATTTTGTGCTGCCGCGGTGGGGCTTTGTGGCCACACACAAATCCAGTGCGGTCCGCGGTGAGGAAAGTTTCACCGGTCTGACTTCAGAAGTTTATATATTTTGTTCTACAAGGAATTGTGAGATGATTCAAAAACGAAAGTTATAGCCCTTCGTGTCTAGTTTCCAGAAAGGTAAAGAATTCACAATTTGGACATCTGTAGAGAAAGTTATATCCAAAATACTAAAGCCTGTCACTGCAGTCAAATCCACCGCGGACAACAGTAGTTTTTGTGCGGTCAACGGTGGTTTTTGTGCGGTCAGCAGTGGTGGCAATCCGGGGGGTGCACTATAAATACGAGGTTTAAGGTTTTATTTCATATTTTGACTTAGAGAGCTCGGACTTTGGCAATTTTTCGAAGGTTTTCAAGAAATTTATCGGGGTAAGTGATTCTAACTCGGATTTGGCTAGAGTACATGAATCTATCATTGAATTCATCATTTAATTCGTGATTTGGGATGATTTGGGAAGAAAATTGTGAAATCTTTCGAAAATATAAAATGATGATTTGAAGGACCAAATGGTATCAGAATTGGATAATTTTGGCATGGTTAGACTCGTGAGAGTATGAGGATTCTGATATTATAAATTTTACCCGATTCCGAGATGTGGGTACGAGGGGCATTTTGGTAATTTTACCTAATTCCGCGTATTATCTTTGAATTTAATTGTAGAATTAGTTACTTGAAGTGTTATTTACATTATGCAATTGAATTGAATAGATTTGGGCCATTTGGAGTCGAGTACTCGTGGCAAGAGCGTGGTTTTGGATTGATTATTGAGCCGGTTCGAGGTAAGTGGCTTGTCTAACCTTGTGTAGGGGACCTTCCCCTTAGGATTGGTATATTTGGTAACTGAAATGCCTTGTACGTGAGGTGACGAGTGTGTACTTGTGCTAATTGTTGGAAATCCGGTTTTCTTTAAGTAATTACTAGTATGTTTCCTTTCCTAATTCTATTACTTGCACTATTAAGCCTGTTGTTAGCTTAGAAAAGTATGTCTAAGTGACTTAATTTCTTTATTTTCTCAACCTGCCTTACTTGACCTCTTGCAACATGCTAGGCTAGAATCACTTGTTGCCTTAATATGAAATTTTTGCCATTTCTGTATATTTTCCTGTTACTACTGT